TATTATATTCATCTATTAGTGAGATTCTGTTTATAATGGCATTCGTCTCTATACTTATTCATTAGAAACCCATGTCCTGTATTTATAGAACCATTATTTATCCTGCACTTGCTGCTATTGCACTTCTGATTAGACCTAAACTGCATTTTGTTGCCTTGTACCTGCACCTGTGTAATGACAATAAAGTTGAATCCATCGGCGTCGCCAGACCCCATTTACTGGGGCACGTGCCCCAGTATAAATGAGCTGTGCCCCAGTATAAATCTCATGAATATTTGCAACAGTACCATCAGTTAAGATAATTCCAACGGGAGGAGACGTATATTTCTACTCCAAATTGAGGATGTATTAGCGCCCCCACGTCAGCGCATGTCACTGCAGGTAAACTAACGCGCTGCTCTCAACTGAATTGGATGGGACACTGTGCGGCCGCGACGCATTTTTAGTTCTGGTAACGTTTCTTACCTGTCAATTTTATTATTATCCCAGTGAAACCACATGATTTATAGGCTACTAACTGAAAATTACTGCATTGGTTTGTAGATGGATATCAGGAAATTCCTCACACGAAGCAGAGACAGGGAAGCAGTAAAATAAGATGAGAGAGAGGGAGGTAAGGTCCCGTGATGAATTAGTGATTTAATGTAACCAGTTACATTAGGAATGTTATAAGCAATAAGATAGATATTTACATAAATATAAATTTAAGTTTTTTAATGTTTGCTGTAGAGAATGAGAATGAAGGTGCTGGAGTAGGAAAGGGAGGAGGAGGCGAGACTGACAGGCAAGAGACAGGTGAAGGACAGGAGAGACAGGAGCATGAAGGTGATGAGGGAGCAACAACCAGCGTTCACAAACAAGAAGGGGACATTAGTGACTTAGGGGGAAAGCATGATGGTCCTAGACAAGTGAAGTTGTCCCATTATCCCCAGGACAAATTTGGAGTAAAAAAACATTAATTTAAATCAAAATGGTTTGAAAGCTTTTCCTGGTTGAAAAAGAAAGCCTTGTCATCAAGGATATGCAGTGTGTTTTCAAATTGCTTGATAACATCATGTTCCCCACACTAACGCAGGTCATCCAGATCTCCCTCACAATCACAATCAACAGCTGGAGTTGTGAAAGGTCATTCACTGTGTTGAGAAGGCTCCACACTTGGCTGAGGTGCACAATGGGACAAGACAGGCTCCATCATCTTGCTATTTTATCAGTTGAAAAGGAAGAACTTTCTAAGCTGAGTCACAGTCAAGTGATTGACCGCTTTGCAAAAGTGAAAAATAGGAGGTACACTTTAATGCTAAAAAATAAAAGAAAAACTTAGTTCAGGTTGATTTAAACTTTCCCCCAAACTAAAACTCTGAAACCTAGGAATTAATGATTACTTCAGAATGTGTATAAGGAAACTTTTTATTTGTCAAAGTTGGTGATGTCTTATTTTTTTATAGTCATCCTGCAAACTGGATGTTTTGGACCTTCTCCCCCTGGAAGGATCGTCTAAGTTTCAAACTGAGCTGGAGATTCAAACTGGAGGTTTGGATCAACTTTTCCCCAAGGGATTTTTTGAGCTACACTCTGAGCAGGGGATTCATCTCCACAAGAAACAGTTCAAGTACCATTGGAAATCTAAGTGGCAGTCAGCTCCTCCGTTCTTCAAGGAAAAACCTCAACCTGGGTAAACCCTGTCAGCCCTCCAACGAGCAACTCAATTACTGGAACAACCCACACCGACTGGATTCTGAGAAAGACACCTTTTACTGGAAATGTGAGTCCCGTTGCCTTTATTCCCTTTTGCAAATCGATGCTCAAATTTACCACTGAGCCTGAACTAATCACAGGAACTTCCCCTTCACTTTTCAGTCCCGGTTTGCCAGTGTTCAGAGCAGCCCTGGACCCATCTCTACCAGTTCATAATAAACCTGTTAAACCTTCCCTTGATCTCTCTGTTTGGTTTCCTGCATGTGGGTCAGATCTTTGAATAAAATTATGACATGTACAAAGCTTGTTAATAACTTTTCTTTAGCTTGCCATTTTTTAATTTATCATTTATAGTAAAAAGAATCACAGAAAATCAATTCATGGAAGGAAAAAAATGAAACTTTATTTGTTTTGTATATTTACCAACACTTTAAAATAAAACCTATGTAATTACTCACAACTAATATAGATCTGCACATAGTAAATAAATTAACTGAAAATAGTTACAAAGTTCCATAACCCCCCTCCAAAAATAACTGCAATACACATAAACAAAACTAATGAAAAAACTGTGACCATTCCTTTTTTCCAGCTGTTGCTGCCATTCTGAACATTGATCAAATAAAAACATTTTCAACAGGCTACACAACTTTTCATGTAACTACCAAGCTAATAAGTAAATAACTGTTTAAATAATTGCACATTGCACCCTATTATTGCATTAGTTGCAGTTTGTTTCAACGTCGCATACTCAGGCATATACACAAATGTAAATACAGTTTTTAAACACTGAGTAACACATTACTATTGATGTTCTTGAACTCACACTGCCATAACTTACAACTTAATAGACCTGCTTTGCAATCAGTTCTAAAATATACAACAAAACCAATTTTGTAATGCACACACAGCTGTGCTAGAGACAGCTAGTTAGTAATTATCATTAAAGCAAATATTTCGATCATACACATGCACTTAAAATTGCTGTATAAAAGCCACATTAGCCTCTATGGTATTCTGTCCCATTACACTTTACAGATACCGCAGAAGCTGCACTGTCTGGTACTAGCAAACTGTCCTAAAAACATGATTTCATCTTGTTCTTTTTTTTGTTTTCGATTTGATAAACAATCTCACTAAAATACAAGCAATTACAAGAAAAAATGAAGAGAAACACAAATCCATTCAAGGCTACCACGACTATTTGATTATACATAAAAAAATAATAAATTATTGCAGAATAATCATTGACTTAGTGTCTTTAAGAATATTGAAACAGCTTTTGGTCGATTTACATAATCACATTTTGTAATTATAAAGGAAAGTTTGGTCAATAATCTTGTTTAGATCTGAACATTACTTTTAGCTGCCTGCTAACTTAGTTTAGCTACTGCTACTGCTAACTTGTAAGCATTCATTTTACTTTAGAGATTTATTAACATTTAATGTCATGCTTAGATACTTAAGAATATTCCCCAAAATAGAAAAAATTTAAAACATAAAAACCTAAATTCAGGGCTTAAATACAGAGCTTTCTGGCTTTAGCTTAGCTACGGCTAACCAACAGAGACATATTCCTAGCAAGCACTGCAAGTTTGCTTTAGATTTGCTTTAGGTTAGCTTTTTTAGAAGAACATTAGAATATTTAACAACAATATTAAGATAGACCTTTCCCTGGATTTAAATCTAAGTTTTTGGCAATAAATAGGCCACATCTACTTTTTTTAAGCAGCTAGAAATAGTGGCATATTCTTTACGCATAAATGTTACTTGAGAAAGTTATTGATACTTAGTTTGATTCTTGATTACTTAACAGAAAATCCTGATGAAAATTTAATGGCTTGTAAAATATACAGTTACATTTTCTGGTTTTAAGTGTTGTTATCGTGAGGGCTAATATTAGATAGCCAAAATAAAAAGAGAGGAAATGCAGCCTGTAAGATATGAATTTGTAAATTTCCAGTGATTTTTAGTGAAATAAAACTAGATAGTAATATCTGAAAGATACCAAGTGGGTCTTTCCAAAAAATAGTAGGAATACGTTTACTGTAAATGCAAAATGTTTTTATGTTGGATCATAGTTAATGTAATTCAACAATAACATTCAAGAATTGTTCACAATTGAACTGAGCTTAGCAGGCGATCAAAAAGTTTATGATCAATGATGTTCAATATCTGTAGACCATCTTTAGCAGGTAGTATATTCGATTGACAGTTGAATTACCTAGTTTACCAAATATGACCCACAACCCCTACTCATATTAGGTACAACAGGGTAAAAACAACTTAGTATCATCATCGGAGAACAAAAAATATGTGCATTACAACACCATAGATAAATACATCCTGGCTTTACAAAAAAATAAACAGCAAAACAGGAATTGTCATCCAACTTGTCCTTTAAAAAAAATCAATAAGTTGCTGACTGTGACAATGAAAAGACATTCAAAAATTAAAGCGACAAATCAACCGCATGAAGATGACAAAACATGGCGAGATGAACAATCGTGAGAAAAGAGACTGAGAGGTCACGTCCGCCCAGGCCCTGTGGGTTCCCCTCCATTGAACCCCTGAACATTCTTTGGCCCCAAAACTACCGTTAGGCTTGTCCAAAACATTTAGGCCTATTTGTACTTGTTCAAAAAAGCCGAAAAGTTTAGACGGACGCCTGACTTTGAAGTCCAACTAATCCTCACATATCGGAGGCGGTCCAGAGTAAAGTGTTGAATAGTCTATTGCATGATCGCCGCGTAGTCGACTAAAGTGTTAAGTCACATTAGTCCTTGTACAAAAAAATACATAATAATTATAAGTTAATTAACAATCATTAAAATTTTCCATCAGTGTTTAAGTCACTGATTTTCACTAATTCCCATCCATGCATCTACAGTATATACTATTAATTGGTTTTCAAAGGAGGCTATGTTGGAAAAATTTTCTGTCTGGACAGGGAGTAGGACTGGACGTGAACGGCCAAGATTGCTGAAAAAGATCGCGGAAAAGAAACAGGAGCACAAAGATATAAGAGTAACATCTGAAAAAGCGTAATCACGGAGCAGGTTTCTTTTTTTTTTACTCAAATACGCAACGAAACAACACTGAAGACATGCAATATCATAAATAGGGGAAATTAACACGAGAAGGGAGGCTAGAGGAGTGATACCATTGGCTTTAAAGGGTCATGTGATGCAGCAAAGCGTCTCGGGCAGAGATTAGACGAGGAATGGTCCTATTTTTTTTATTATTTTTTTGAAAATATAATTCATGATGAATCATTTGGCTACATCCCACCACACACTCTGCCGATAGCATCACTGAGCAGCTGCTTTGTAATATACAAATACCTAAGTTCTACAAAAAAAGTTCAGTCTTTTTCTAATAATATTTTTTGTTTTGTGCACTGACATATATTTAGAAAAAGCAATAGACGAAAAGAAAATGAAGAGAAATAAACACAAGATTTAGCCTAATAAACATTCAACATGCTTTAACAGTTCTCTAAAAAAAAACTAATCAACAGAGAGTATTTTTTCATGTGTTTACTTTTTTTTTTCTTATTTGACTTAATTTAGCTCTCTGAAATAAAAGCGAACACCGAACCCTCCCTGATGTTGGGTCATACAGGATGGTGAGGTGGTCAGGATTTTCGGAGAGCCAGAGACAGAGACCTGGGGCTTCATCGGGGTTGTCTGCAGTAGTCGGTCGTTGGAAAGGGCCAAACGGAGGAGCCAGTCAGGGATCTCAGGATGTGGTCATGGATGATGGGTCATTCCACATGGCCGCAACGTCTCTAAACCTAAAAGCTAAAACTAGTTAGTTCCTCTCTTCTTTATGAAAATTAAACAACAAAACAGAAAGGTTTAACATTTATTTTCTCCATTAGAACATGTCAACGCTTCTGAGCTCTCTAACCTTGCATTAATGAGGTACTGAGCCAGGCTGATGTTGGCGGGGGTCCCTGTGATGGTGATCTGGCGCTCCGATGACCCTTCCATGGCATTAGCAATTTTGATCTGCGCCCCAGACATCTGACGGATCTCGTTGATTTTGGTTCCCTGGCGTCCGATTATGCAGCCTATTAGCTGGGAAGAAAATGGGGCAGGAATTAGGATGGCTGGATCATGAATAGGAATCTTCTTTTGATGAAGAAAAGATTCAGAATTTTGGTAAGCTTCTGTTATTTCACACTTTCTACAGGACTACAAAGCACTTTACTTTTAAAACCTTTTTCGCTCCTTTTTATATGTTCACTGCCGTTTTATACACTTTAGAAGGGGTGGGCAATTCCACTTACGGAGTGCTGGTATTCTGCAACTTTTAGATCTGTCCTTGGTCCAACGCACCTGAATCAATTGGCTGAAAAATCTCCTTAATATACATCCAATTCCTCCAGAGTCAGTTTAATAATCTAAGTACTTGATTCAGGAGTGTTGGACCAATAACATCTAAAAGTTGCAAAATACTGGCCCTGAGGAATTGGAATTGCCTACTAAGCTTTAATACATTTTTTAATATTAAATGAACTTAATTGGGATTTTATCTGATTTTACTGACAAACAAAAGGTTGTGCATACTTGTAAGATAAAATCATACAAGGTTTTAAAAATTAAAATGTAAGAATTGGAATTGTGCTCATCAGACCCACTATAGTCTGATACTGATAGTGATAATCGCATGAACATACAGACAGAGCGACAATGGATCAAAACATGATCCGGATTTTCCAGGCGAATTACAGACCTAGCCAAAAGAAAATCTGCTAGACACTTTTCACCAATCATGACTGGACATTAGCTATGTTGTAAAACAGAATGGGGAAACATTTCACCCAAAATGTGCAAAGCCAGAAAACACCTAAACCAAAAAGCTTGAGCCTTAATAGAAGGTCTTCTTTGTCACGAACACATGGTTTTAAATAAAATCCTAATTTTAAATGATTATTTAATAAAAAAAAAACAATGAGACTGAAATGGACTGATGAGTTTTTAGCCCACTAAGATGAATGTACTCACATCATTGGGAATGGTGAGTTCATGAGTACTGGCCTGGTTACTGGCATCCAGACCTGCTGCTGAACACACGAAGTACACAAAGAGAAGCAGGGAGGGAAAGGACAGAAAATTGTTTGGCAAGTTGAGGGAAGAAGTTGTAAAGTCTATTTACAGATTTCTAGCAGTAAATGCTTCACATAAGTCATCATTGCTTGAGGACTTGAGTGCTAGGTGAGTTATAGGTCAAATCTATATTAGTGTTACTTCAAAAGAGATACTAAGGGAAAACCATAAAAGAAACCTCAACATCAACAAGAGCAGACCACCAGCAGGCCATGTCAATTGCAGTTCACCACAAAGACCATTAGGAAAACAACAACGAGAAGAAAAAAGAGATAGAACAGATAAAGCCAAAGAAGAGAGAGAGAGAAAGAGAGAAAGAAAAAGGAGGAAGAGAAAGTGTTTTTCTCTATAGGTAAAAACGAGAGAAGGATCTTCGGTAAAGAGGGTCATTGTGTAGGTGGGTACGTACCGGGGAAGGCAGGGGTGGTCTGTCCGAGGGGGGTAAAGGGGGTTTGCTGCATAGCCAACTGGTGGAGCTTGCTCAACTGCTGAGGGGGGGAGGAGGAGGACAGCAGAGCTATGAGGTCATCATTAAAAACCCACTCCGCCTCGCACGCAGACACACACATACAGACATAGATAGATATATACAGAGAGGTCTGCTGGAAGTGATACAAGAGAAGAGAAAGGATCTAAGGAGAAGTAAAAACACAGACAGGTGAAGGACCAAAATCAAGAGAGAGAGAAATAAATTTAGAGAAAGAAAGAAATGGACTTGGCCTGTTAAGAGTACTTTTGTTTGCATAAGTCCTACCTAATTATTCTGAGGTTCGTTCTATCCTTTTCCATAGCATACCACACGTTAGAAGCTATTTTCAGTAACTGTGTTATATTCCTAGTGATTTTCTCTCAGGTTAGAGGACTAAAATGTTTCAATCTGGTTCTGGATGCTCTGCAGCTTTAAAAAACGTCCAATGGTACAATTGAATATTTCCCCACTGGTATGAGTAGCCTTTACATCAAGGTCGTTGTTTGCAAGAATGCGTGGCTGGCCATAACTTTCCTCATCCCCAAATAGCAACCCTAAACTCGCAGAGACCTATGAACTATGGGCCTATTTAAAATACAATAAATAAAAATAAATAAATAGAATAGATTCATTACTCTATTGTCATATACACTTTAGTGCTTGCAACCAGGGTGTGTAACACACAGACATCATCAGTTCCCAGGTGAATATATGCGCTATTAAAGTTGTAGGGAAATGGCTGTTCCAACCGTTGCATTTCCAAATTCTCCCTAGTGGTTTCCGACTTTACATGCGTGAATAAAGTGAATGTGATTGGTCGATTATCAAGGGGGCGGGATTGTTGTACCGGAAGTTTCGCAAGCAACCATTTGGTTGTGGTCGGTTTGTCAGAAGCATCTTGCTAACCCGTTAGCAACTTAGTGCTAGAAGGTTCCCAATGGGAAATTACATTGGGACCAAGTAGCAGTTAGCAACGACACTGTCAAGGAACACTATGGACAGCGGAAACATGCAAGACGAGGAGAGATTTGGGTCGGAGGTCATGGATGAGTCTCCTCCATCACACATTTTTTATGTAGAACAGGAAAGAGGGGACGAAGTTGTTGTGGAAGAGGACGCCAGTGCGGCCGAAGCTTCGTTTGGTGTAGAAGGCTTACAGCCGTAAATGTTTGGGCCCTTGCCTCGCAACGCTGCCAATTCTGTTAGCTCTACACTTGCCGAAGACACCATCCCCTTGAACACTGGGAAGTAACTCAATGTAAAGTAAATGATTCTTATTTCAACCGTTGCGTATATTAGCTGCGACATATGAATCAAGATGCTATGAACGAAAACAATTGATTGACAGATGACCTTTGATATATGATTTGCCGAATTTAGGTGTACAAGCTGACGTATAACTAACTGGCCTTCATAAAATAACGAAAAAACCCCACAGATTTTAAGACAGGATTTTTTTTTTTAAATAAATTTTCTAACTTTTGGGACAGTATGGTCTGATAAAGAGTATATTTGTATATAGCCTATGTTTAAGTCAGAATCATTTTAAATTTAAATATTACCTTCCGACGACTTTAATTAAACTTCACAATAACACAATAAAAACGTAGATTTGGTCAGCTGGCATGAACCTGAGTCACTTCCTTTATGCCACACGTGACTATTATCTCCAAAATCCTTTTCCACAAACCACAAATAATTATATTATTATACTTTTAAAACATTATTGAACAGTTCTCCATTACACAAAGAACACAAGATCAAAATAACACTCAAAAATACTATGGTTACGTAAAACTGCGCGAATAGATATGAAAGTGCGCGTTGGCACCATGCTCTTACTTTGAGCTACAGGCAGGGGGCGCTGCCTGGTTACAGGTGTCCAAATGCTAATGTGCACTCTGGGGTCGTGGAGATAAAGTCTCTCACATGCGAAACCGAAATGCGTTTTAGTGCCATATTTCCTCCTCATTACTGTTATTATTATTAGAATATAGACATTTATTAGTCTGCTGCGATGAGCAGGACACCACGCCCTAGCTTGCTTGACGTTGCCATGACGACATAACTTTGGTGAACTTGTGTTATTAAGTCTTGAAACAATTACATTAAAATCCAAATACACGCAATAGTAAAATAAAAAAAAAATCAAAATCATTTCCCAAAATACTCATGAGAGATGTTTAAATTGTGCAAAAAATATTTTTAATAAATTTTTATTAAATTAATTAAATAAATTAAATTATGGCAACTCCAGACACTGCTTACCGAGCTGAGATTAGACTTGACAAAGTTGTTACACCGAATGCCCTTCCTGATGCAACTACGATTTAAATCCAGGACGCCCACATCAGAATAAAAGACTTGAACCGCTCCACGATGGAGAAAGAATACTTAAAGGAATTACTGACCTGAATGAAAATCTGAAGGGAGGGACACAGAGAATGTTCAAGACAGTAAGGAAATAGACAAGAAGAGACTTGAGAGCAAGCTCGAGCAGAATTATCCTGGAGATGTATGGTTGGGAATGGCGGAGATTACAGGCTTTAGAAAGAAGAAGGAAGAGACAATGGAAGTGTGGATAAATCAAATGAATTGAAAACATTTAGCTCAGCACCTTCCTCTCCTGCCCCTTGGCATGAAATCCTCCAGTCCTCGCTTGGCTAAAGGGTTTTGGTTCTCACCCGGTTGTCATCAGCATAGAGGCAACACCTTTATATGTTATACCTTTCCTTTAAAGTTTTACAGTGGAAACTTTTAGTACAAGTTGGACTCCTGTCAAAGATTTTGATTTCACCAGCGGTAGGAATATGTCAATAGTGTAGGAGTATGAATGCCTTCATATTCATTTGGACAACAGATTGGAAGTTCAACCACAACAAGACGCTCTATGTCTTGGACAAAGATGTAGCATATCATTAGTAGGTCTGTATCAGGGTGTAGTCACCTCTGTATTAATTTGTGTTGTTACAGCATCGGAACTAATGACTTGAAACCTAAACACAG